ATGTGACATTTTCACTTGAAGACCTGTAATCGTGTCTTGTGCTGGGCAAAAACATGGTTACAGCGGCCTCAAAACAGCAGTGTCCCAGCAAAGGCTCAGCGCCGCCATGTTGTGATGGAGCACGCAGCCACGCCCTCTCCATCCTCAGGATATGAGGTTGTGGTAGGGAGACCAGTGGTCGTTGAGTCCGAGAACGTTCGATTGGCTAAACTGCCCAGCTTCATACATTCATGAATATTTTTTGTACAAAGTTATCACGAACTTTTCATAAATATCTACGTTTTCAGATATACACCAGACGGTTGACGTGGAAGATTCCACCACAGTGTTTCATAGCAGTTCTTCTCTTCACTAATTTTTTAGTAAGTGCTCTTTCTTAAATTTTAATTGTATGTAAAAATGAGACGCCAATAACACTGAAGACTAGGACTTTTGCTGAGCTTTATGAAAGAGCTCCTAAGGGAAGAGCCGATAAATGCAGCAATTCCATCCTTATAATGGTAATTTCAGTTTGCACAAGTAGTCTCGTCCCTCACCCCCCCCCCACACAAGAAGGTATCAATGCTAAGAACAATGTGTCTAGTCAGTATCAAATGATATCTCTACTGAGGTGAAAAGGCAGTTATACTGTGTCGAATACACATTTATGCCCCTATCTCGGGTATGGAGAGGGAGCACCTCTGACTGAACCAATCAGGGCAGAAAGAGGTGAAGGATTGTTCATATTCTCTCGTGAACCCTGCGCTGTTTTGTATAGTCGCATTCCTTGCGGATGATGGGGAGCGTCAGGGAGGCTCGGTTTGGCGTGACGCTAACCCACCCACCAATAGTTGGAGCGTGCAAGCGACGAAAATTGGTCAGAAACGGGTTGGGGCCTTGTTTCTACCAAGCCTTCTAGACACGCCCCAGAATCCGCAGCGAGCAGGTCGCTATACGCGAAACCCAACCTTTGACTGAACGTACACCCGTTAAGCCGTTAAGAGCCGCTTGACTAGCTTCTTGAACTGCCTTCCTCATCTCTCAGATAAGGCAGCGTTCAGACTTCGCGACGGCAGCGCTTCGGTCGCGCGTTTGGCGCGATCGATGCGCATGCTTTCGACTGCATCGATCGCGTCGAACGCGCGACCGAAGCGCTGCCGTCGCGAAGTCTGAACGCTGCCCAAGCAATATGTGTACACTGGCAAAGTGCGGCCATTTATGGCCGCGTATCTCATGAGGGTGAAGTCGGTGAAAAAAGCCGTCGTCAGTGGTTCAGAATAAGATGGATCGCCGAGAAGCCGTGCTCTTCAGATAATACAGAGATGATTTTAGGTTCCGTTGGGTCTGCCGTCGGTAATACTAGAGAAATTAGTACGAATATGGATGTTTGGACGATTGTCCTGTCATGCGCATCATATTCTCACGAATGCCGGGCGAGTAGTGATACCATGGACTATAGCGGCACTTCACGCGTTTGTGGTGAGTGATGAGGCTGAGGTTTTGGCTTTTACCTTCTAATATATAAGGAGTGTTTAGGCAATGTACCTTCGCCGACCGAATCGTCTAACGCGTTTTGAAGGAGTGCTGACAGCTATGGCTTTTTCATTCCTTACACTGCTCGTTTTGCTCATCGTCATTCCTCAGGGATTGGCTGCAGAGGTGCGCAACCCTGCTTTCATGGGTTTTTTTTTCGATGGATTTTTAATTCTGACTTCTTCAGCTCGAACTGATCCGCAAGGATGAGATTGATAGCGATCAGTATATCATGCTGATCCATACCTATCGGTGTTACGTGAAGCCAGACCTGTATTCGGTGACGCAGTTGGCAAAATTTGCCTTTGAATTTGCAGTACCGCTTCTGATGTCCAGCTACCTGCAACTGCTAATAACGTCGAGGGCCAAGCTCAAGTCGAGCAAGTCTGTCTCGAGGAATCTGGTGAGTGCATGATAGATACAGCTACTCTGACGTCATTCCACTAACAGCACGACATTGAAGTGGGCGTGGCTGGTTCCGCGTTGCGTACGCGTCACATAAGAGTGCGTTTATAATCTGCGTCAACTAACGTCCTGACAACGCTGAAAGCGGCTACGACTTGAAACGCTGGCGTACATCGTAATCGCTGGATCCCTTTGCTTTCCCAGTCGCTCGGAACGCTGACGAAAAGTATGAACGCACCCTAACCACTTCAACGAAGTGTTATGAGTGGAATGAATCACGTTGAGACCTACTTCTTCCAAACAGCGATTATACTTCGCGACTCGTGCAGTTCAGTCGACTGCGACTGGCCGCACTTGCTGAATTGCTGCAAAGTAACAAATAAGTTTTCACTGACAAGTAAGACTGAGTTAACAGCTCCAGAAGTCTAGCGATTAGCGGTGGAGCGTGGTCGCTCACTTAGTTACTCGCGTCGCGGAGTATAAACGGGCCTAGCCTTTCTTTCTCACTGAGCCCACCTATTTCCAGATTTGCATTCTGTTCATTCATTATTTTTGCAATATTCTACACTACGTTCCAGAAGCCAAACGAGTAAGTCTTATCTGTACAGTTAGAGAGAAGTAGCATTTTCTATCGAGAACTATCAGTTTTATTCAGAATATGCTCTTCACCGCTCTACCAGAAGATGCCGATCTAAAGCAGCTATTACCGTATCTTTCGCCAACGCTTATTTGGTATCCACTTAGCGAGTTGTCTGCCAAACTCAGTCGATGTCATTCTGACAAAATCGAAGACGATCTCTCACGATCACGGGTTTTGGGACGAGCCACTGAGACGGAAAGATTGCGCCTAATGACTCCACGGGATCTTTAACGATTGATTATTATCGTACCAGCTTTTTCGGGTTCTTTTTTATACACATTTCTCTATGTAATAAGCTCAATTAATGAAATGAATTTTCTATCTTGGAAATTTCGTGTCTTACGTGCAAGCGCATGAGAAGTATAGTATCGTTCGCTGATGCTGGGGCGTGTCAGGGTGTCGGGTTTGGTGCAATGCCAACCCCTTCTCCGCCAACAGTTGAAGCAAGCAAGAGGCAACAATTGGTAGAAAACAAGGTGATAGCAAAACAACGTGGCAAACCTAGCCCCTGACGCGCGCCAGCATCCGCAGCGAGCTCGACTACATATTCATCTATCCTAAGACTGTCAGAGTTATCGGCACAAATGCTGGATCATTTTTCAAC